CGTCTAACAAGTAACATGTAATGTAATGATGAAAATTATTCTGTGTATGAGATCCTTCATGCTCATCGGCAAGATAATATGATTGATGGTCACTAAGGCTTTTAGCCTGAAGAGCAAAAGTAGAAAGGAAGCTATATTTGCTTCAAAGCACTGACACCTGAACCACTTGGACGCACGTACAGTATCATAATACAGTATTTATGGCTGTGGCTACAAAGGTCAGTTCCTTAAAGGAATGTGGGGTTTTCTCTTAGAGCAATAAGTGTTTATTATATTGCTATCATGCTACGTTAATATAACATTTCACATGCAACCTCAAAAGCAAATTAGCATCAGGTAAACCATACCAATAATCACACTTGGAGATATGAAGTTTGTTGGAGAAAATGGGAAGAGTGCAGAGATAATCCATAGTATTTACTGAGATTAAGCTGCACTTCACACAAGTCTGGGCAGAGTTTCCTCCCCCACACAGCCATTGTGTGTGTTCTTACTATGAGAGTTTGCATGAGTATATGCGTCTGTATGTGTGTAACGACCACGTGGTTTAAATCATTTAAGTCATGTGTGTTTTGTTGATGCATTGCTTTGCTTTTTGCTCCGTCAGTTGACATGAGATGAAAAACTGAATTAGTTTCTCTGAACTAGTCCCTCTGTTCACTTAAATGGATGCCTAGAATTTTTCCGTTCTTAAAATGAATGCTTTGTGTGGTTTCATTCATTGCCCTGTCCTTCCCCCAGACCTTTTGATCCATATCCCACGCATGGGGACATTTTCACCCCACTCTCCAATGCAGAAAGATTGTGTTTGTGGTTCAGCCCTGGCTTGTTAGTGTGGAGTTTAACTATCCTTACACCTGGTTGTTAATATGGATACTATCTTGTGTGTTATGATTTAATAAGTGTTGTTAATCTGTGTATGTGTGTGCAGCTCCAGGAGCAGTTGGAGCGCTTCATGAAGACGAATCAGGAGCTGCGACATAAACAGAATGTGCTGCAGGCCCAGCTGAAGAGCGTCGTGGAGAGGAAGGCCGACATGGAGGCTGACCTGAAGGAGAAAACCAAAGAGATAGAAAACCTCCAAACACAGCTGGACAGAGCCAACAGCAACGGCCCTGTATGACTCCTATTATGTTTCCTTTATTTCATATCCAAAAGATTCTTTGCTGACTGTTTTTCTCATTTACATTTGGTATAAATAATTACATTTACTGAGTTGCAGGTCAAAATGTGTCTGGACAATAACTAATTCTGCTGTTTGAAGCATTCTGTAATGTTCTGGACAGGAGCTGAAGATTCAAAAACTTTATTTAAAGCTTGTACTGCTGATGAGACTCCAGCCACTTTAGACCTACTCCAACCAAATGCTTGTCATTCCTCCTCCAAGGAGCTCTAGACTTGTAGACTGAAGTTTGACCTTTGACCCTGTTCTTCCAATCAGTCAAATAGGAATCAAACCGCCTCGGAGTCAAAGAAACAGTCTACGGTCGAGCAGAAGGACCCCGATCCGCCATGCTTCACCAAGAAGGAGGTGCGTGGCATCCTTTTCGAGAGGAACGAGCTCAAAACCAACCTGTTCCTGGTTCAGGAGGAGCTCAACTACTATCAGAGGTGGGTCTGCTGGAGATGTTTTGCCATCAATCTGAGAGCAAGCTTTAGTCGAACATTTGAGCAATTCATGGACGTTTGGGTATGTGGGGGGATACTGTCTGATAGCAAATGGAAATAAAAATGATTGTATGTTTCTGCAGAGAGATCCTGAATGAGGAGAGGTGTCCAGGTTTCCTTTTAGAAGCTGTCCGCTCTGCTATCAAACAAAAAAGAAAGCTCATCAAGGCAAAGATGCTCGGGATTCCTGCCAACGATTGCAGCAGCAGGTCTGTCTGATCATTGGTTCGCCTGCTTTATCCATAAACAATGAGCCTGTTTAAAAATGTTTTATTTAGAGGGATCAAATCTATGAAACATTTTATAGTTTTTTTTTTATGCATTTCCTTTTTTTGAAGCATGGAAGATAGCTTCAAAATGAATAATGGTCAAATAACTGTTAAATTAAGGCCTGATTTCATGGTACTCTACATCAACCACATAAACATAAATCAATACTTAATTCTCTATTTGATTTGTCCTTGCCAGTGATGAGGAGGAGAGGAGTTCTCTGTTTGGGCACACAGAAGTAGACGGGGCTGATGTTGATGACACCGAGAAACCAACTGAGTCACGCATTCGAAGCCTGTGAGTACACATCTGCCCTGCACTGCACTGCTCAGACTTGTAACCACAAAGCTGGCAGCATCTGTCCCTTTGATGTTTTTACAATAAGAGAACATTGGTTCATTTCTGTGCATGCATGATTTTAAAGTGTTGTTTACCCAAAAGTAAACTGACTTTAGTGACCTGAGACAAAACACAGGAAGTGCTCCTCTAAAAGCTAGCTGATACGTTTGAATGTATTTAGTGTATGATCCCTTTTGTTAGGTACAGGAAAGCTCAAGATTATTCTAGGCCATTTGCTTGAAGCATGGGAAATTTCAGACATTTCTAAAGTCCTGAGATGGATTTGAACCCTGTTGTCTGAATCTTTAGGTTATTTACAAACTGAAGCATGATGCCTAACTTACAACATATACATTCTTAAAGTGTTTTATTTTAGTAACATGTTCACACTAAAACTGCATTTCGTTGACCTGGTAGTAATTCAGCAAATCAACACAATTCAAATAGGCTTGTTCTTCATGTTAATTTACTCGTACCCATAGATTAGGTCTGTCCTATGTTCCGATAGAGGATGTTAACCCCCATCAACTCATGAAGATTAGTTACTGGAACATTGGAAATTCCCTTCACTTCTGGAAAGTAATTGTGGTATAGGGGAAGTCTCTTGACTGAGAATGAGATAAAGTAAAACATGTGTCATGATGATGTTGATCTGTCTCTTTATTAGAAAAAACAATATTCTAATATATCTGTTTGCATTTTGCATGGTCCCCTTCTACTGTTTATCTAAAAAGAAAAAGAGACACAAAAGAATATTCTTATTCTTTGGAGCCCAAAGTCTTTAAAGAGATAGCAAAAGACAGATTCAATAAATAATCAAATTGAAAGAAAGAGCAAAACAAACATCATCTGTGAATCATAGCAATGGTTTCAGCTCTCTGCTCACTCTGTCGCTGTCCTGAGAGTCTGGACTATTTTTAGCTGTAATCCCTGACAACCTATCTGACCCAGCCTGTCTGTTTTCTGCCCTTCCGGCTGCAGCTTTGGCTTCCTGACGCGGTCGGGCAATGGACGGAGCCCCGCCCACATCAGCAGCTCCGCCTCCAGCTGGGAGATCATCGGAGACTCAGAGGCCGGCGTGGAGACGGGGCAGCAGTGACCGTCCCCCCTGAGCCTGGTACCCACCACAGCCTCACCCTTCTTCCCTTAGTCACATCTCCTTCCTCAGCTTGTAACAGAAAATGTTGCAGTGACTCAGGAGAAACATAACCAGGACATTTGAAGGCAGCCCCACACAAAAGCACTTAGTGTGAAGAGAAAGTGCAAACGTGTTAAACAAACTTTATTTTGATATGAATACTTTCATTTCCCCTTTTGTTGATTACTGGAATTTATAAAAAGTATATTTAGTATACTGGTACTAGAGTATGTGTGGCACAGTGTACGCAGTATTAAGAGGGGTTCTTTTGCTACTAAACAATATTTTTGTATGAGTCCTTTTATCCTTTAGGGTAGAGAAAAATTGGCTACACATCAATATTTATATAGATCCTGAAACTATTTTTACAAAAACCAAAGATAATACAAGGTTAGCTTTTTCCTCTCCTGTGTTAAAGAAAAAAAAGAAAAGAGTATTTTAAGTTCACCTCGGTTCCACAAGAGGGCATTGTTTCTTTTTATAACTAACAATCAAGATGTCACCATCAAGCTGTTATGCAACTTTACCTCAGTAGGGAAGATTTTACTTGTGTACTCTTTTAATGATTTAAAGGAATTTCATGCTAAAGAACAAACAAAGAAAACTGTACATTACCAGTCAATTCCAGCATTGAGTACACTTTAATCCCTTAAGCCTTAACTCAATGCTTGTATTGTTAAATATATATTTTCTCAATTTCAGTCATTGCACCACTCAAAGTATTTGGCTGGTGTGTGCCTGATGCCGGTGCCATAAATGTGTTTGTATTTGTGTGAGTAAACGCGTTCATTGTGGCTGATGTACCAGCCGCTGCAGATTGGTTACGTTAGTTTCCACCACCATTTGCTGACTAGTTACCCTAAAGTAACCACATCTAATCCGTCTGCTCAGTCCAAATGTGACCAGTGGTGTATTTGAGACAATCTATGACCTTCCAATCAAATCATGTTTTCTTAAAATGCTTTGTTCACAATACATTTTTGTAAGAATGTCGTTGCTGACAAAAATATTTAATATTTTATTGATGAAATGTAGAACAATTCAGACTGTGATAATGAAAACTGACCTTTCAATTCAATAAACACAGAATTGTATTGAATATAAAAATGATCTCTACCCATTTTTTCCCATGATTCAATTGATTCAATTGGCATTGTGCACTAACTGTTACTGCTGTTGAATGAAGGCAGAAGTAATGACATGATTATCTTTGGTCCAGACTTATAAGGAGTGCGTTCTTCATAATTTCCTGAATGACTGTCAACAATAGATTCTGGGAAAAGGTGAAACCTCAGGGTTGGGTGTTTGCATTTCTACGTGCCCCCACCAGTGTGTGCGGCGATTTTCATGTGTTAGTGTTCGACCATCTTTAAAACTCTCTGTGTCTGGCTGAATAGAAGGAAGTGGCTCTGACTTCCCCAGGAAATGGGAAGAGGAAACCTGGGGGCTTTGACCTCTTTGGCTGCTGTGGAGCCACAAGACGACTCACAGGAGAGGAAGGAGCGGGGAAGGGTGGAGGGCACACAGCAAGAGAGACACTGCCTCTGACTGGAAGCAGAGCAAGTTTAGAGGAAAGTCAGGAACAGGCTGGACATAAAAAGACAGAAAGACATTTGGTTCCTGGGTTTTATTTACGGAGTTTGTGTGGAGATGAAGCTTCTCCTCGGAGCTCTGAGTGCTCTGCTCTGCTGCTCCCTGTCCTCCTCACAAACACTGGATCCTGCTGGGAAAAACGTCTGCCACAATATCAGGTACAACTTCACAAAAAAGCATTATAATAATATTATGACAAATTGTAGCCTTTATTACAGCCAAGATATTTTTCAAGGAGTTAAGGATTGAACTAGACGGCTAAAATTTAAATCTTCTCCTATTAATTGTTTTATCAGGCTATTGCTAGTCGGTTCTTCCTGGAGTTTTGTTAAGTTTCAGATTTGTCAGGCTGATTATTCTCTGTATATTCAGGGACCCCTCCACCCTGGTCTGTTGCACTGGGTGGCGTCAAGAGGGAACAGAGTGCACCTTACGTGAGTTTAACTATTCTTATGGGCGACAATCTGCAGGAATTATGCTTTTACTGCCTCCATATTGGATTAGTTTTCCTGTTGTCTCATTCACTGGTATGCTGTGTGTGTGTGTGTGTGTGTGTGTGTGTGTGTGTGTGTGTGTGTGTGTGTGTGTGTGTGTGTGTGTGTGTGTGTGTGTGTGTGTGTGTGTGTAGCTGTGTGTGAGGGTGAGCAGGCCTGTCTGAAGGATGAGATCTGTGTGTATCCCGGAGTGTGTCGCTGCCCCCCTGGCTACTTCGGAGCTCACTGTAAAACACGTGAGTTACAAGAAACAAGTGGAGCATTGATTTATTAATGTCTGTTAGTTTTAGAGAATGTGAATATTTTAGCACAATAACATAAGTCCTTTTTGCCAAATGTTACTAAAGTTAATTTCTTGTATGAAACCTATTGTGAAAGTATTCAAATCTTAACAATCTAACATTTATATACCATGTGAAAATACCCCTTTATGACTGGAGGCCCTGAATTTGTCCTACTGAAGCAAAAAGTACTTATCAGCTTGATGTATTTAAAAATAAATAGCTTTTTATGCAGAGCAATTGCTACGATGACTTATATGTTATTGTCCATGCAGTATATGGGTATTAGCACATTGTTAGACTGTTTCAAATGTTTTTTTGTACTTACTCTTTGCTATTATTCTGCCCTAATGCATGTCCCATCTCCGTAAAAACTTAGAGCTAACAAGAAGATCAAAGAATTCAAACATGCGAGATACGTTTTAATGTTTCACTTAGTTTTCCTTTTTCCTCTCTATCCATAAATACTTTTATGTAGAACTGAAAATAAATACAGAGTAACAATGTTTCAGTTACAGACCACTCAAAAACTATACCATAAATAAACCTTAATTGCGTACAAATATCTTCTATGCACATGCCACAACATAAAGTCAGATTTAAATTAGCTCTACATTCAACTTGGCAAATAGAATGATCACAACATAGTTAGTTATTTAAACAAACATGAATTGACTGGAGTAAATAGTACAATATTTATCCTTGGCATGTTTGAAGTATCATACAATCTAATTAGTCAATTTGCACAAGTAACTCAAAATTATACTAAAAACAGGACTTGACTAAATTCCATCCCTATACGAAAGTATTAAAGGGGACCTATCATGCAAAATGCACTTTTTATGTCCCCGGTGTGTAAGTGTCTGAAAACAAAACCCTCTTTCTTTTCCTCCATACCCACATCTCTAAAAATGGGGTGCTATCAGAAACAATGCGCAACGTGTTTTGGAAGTATGGTCTTTGTTTACATTAGCAAGCATCGCTAACACTCAGAGCTAACGCTGTACTGGAGAGAGTATGTGTAAAAAAGCAGGAAATAAAAAAAAGGAACTCACCTTGCGGTGAACTCGCAAGAGAAAAAGCATTGGAGCTCTATACTGTTTCAGAAATAATCCTTGATGTGGTTTTGAACATGATATTTAATCACGGCAGCATTTAGCTGAGTATCTGCCGGTAGAATTCTCCTGCATAAGCTCCCCTCCTCTTTTTTTTTTGTAGCTACCGACCCAGAATCAGCACTTCTCTAACAGGGCTGAAATAGAGGGGTATGAGGCATGGCTAGAATTGGTGATCTGTTTGTTATTTTGAGCAAAACACTTTTTTACAACATTTTTATATATCTGAGACCTATAATATATGCCTAAAAATAGTATAATAGGAGACCTTTAAGTGTAGTATTGGTGTTGCATTATTCTCTGTGTTTGTTCATTTGTCTCCAGGCTGTCCCGGTGAGTTCTGGGCTGCGGACTGTCGCAAGGTGTGTGAGTGCTTCCCTCACGGCCGCTGTCACCCCGTCACCGGAGAGTGCACCTGCAACCCCAACCGCTGGGGCCCGCTCTGCCAGTTCCCCTGCAAGTGCGTCCGGCACGGCCACTGCCACCCCGTCCACGGGAACTGCTCCTGTGACGAGGGCTGGTGGACGGCCACCTGCTCCAAGCCGTGCCAGTGCGGCAGCGGGGGGTCTGCGGGCCCCGGCTGCGACCAGCTGACAGGCCGGTGTCAGTGCAACAGGGGCCACTGGGGGCTGAAATGTCCCGTCGCTTGCAACTGCTACCTGTCCCAATGTAATCAGCGAACAGGTGTGTGTGAGTGTGAGGCAGCCTGGTGGGGGCCCAGCTGTGACCGGAGGTGTAACTGTGACCTCACGCACAGCAGCTGTGACCCGAACACTGGACAGTGCCTGTGCCAGCCGGGGTACCAGGGGGTCTACTGCAACCAGCCCTGTGAAGCTGGGAAATACGGCAGTGGCTGTAAAAGGAGGTTTGTGTAGATATAGCTTTTTGATTCAAGATGCCATATTGTAAATAGTGATATTTAATGTATTTGTATTTGTGCTATATTATTACTTTTAAAGAATCAATGTTATCAACCCATGGAGTTCACAATACAAATGTACACAGCCCACAATAAGATTCAAGATATTTTCTTGTCATATATACAGTTTTAAACAGGGACTGTATTGTGAAATACTTACGCTCAGCCCTCCACACTTAAATATTACGAAACTATACATACAAACAAGCATATAAGATAAAAACTAGTATATGAGAAACATTAAAAATAATAAGCTGACATACATTAAAAAATTCCCATCCCAGAATAAAAGTGCATGATGTGCTGCAAAAGGACATATATGTGTGGCCTGGGAAAACTTCTGTGAGGTTTTTGATATCACAAGATTCAAGATACTTTACTATCGTTGTACGAATACATTTCAATTGTGTCTGGTAACTTCTAGTGACCAGCAACAAGAGAACAAGATACACTATACTACGTAGAAAAGTGTTCCTACAAAGCTGTTTCAGTCATTCTGCTGTTATGAAGGTGCAGAGACATGAAACAGGAAAATGCTGGCCCATCAGAGAGACTGGAGATGTGGGAGGGGTCTTAAAGAGACATGCGCTAACACAAAGCATTCGATACAAAGGTTAATATTTTAAGATAGACAGTATGAGATATATAATGTCATTGTTTTAAACATTTAAGCATGTAAACATGTTCTAGTACAAACCCAAAGTATGAACCTGATATGTCCCCTTTGACACCTACTGTATGAATCTCTTTGTTTCGTCTCCTGTCCTCAGTTGTGGCTTCTGCAGAGACCACCGGCCCTGCTCGGACACTGACGGCGCCTGTGACGCCTGTGAGTCCGGCTGGAACGGGACACGATGCGACCGGCCGTGCCCGGCTGGTTCCTATGGTGACGGCTGCCTGGAGGAGTGTCCACTCTGCAGGAACAACGAACCCTGTGACCCAAAAACTGGGAACTGTTGGAGGTGTAATCCGGGACGCACTGGTCCCAGGTCTGTATGAGTGTTTTATTTAAACCATTTATTGTTGGCTGTAACTTAAAGGTAACAAGGTTTATAGTGAATGTACTATGCAGAACTAATGGTATGATGTTTGAAGACGTTTGCCTCTTGATCTTATCTATGCTCCCATCTTCACATTTCTGAAGTGGCCAGCATTATAGTCTGTGTAACCCATACGTGTAACCTTTATTTTAACTATAAAACTGGAGGTGAGTGTGTGATAAAGATGGACAATCATGCCCTTTTTTCTTCCTGCAATGTCCATTAGTGCTTAGATTTCTACAACAATATCCATAAAATTGTGTAAATCTGTTTAAACAGTTTTTCATGTAGTGAGATAAAGGTTAAAGATGGGAAATGCGTGTAAAATGATTATTTATGTCCTTGTTCCCTTCGCCCAGGTGCGAGGAGTCCTGCACTAACAGGACGTTTGGAGACGCCTGTGGTTTCCTGTGTAGCCCATGTTTCCATGGTGACTGTCATCGTGTGACAGGAAGATGTGACTGTCAGCCCGGCTTTACAGGAGAAAGGTGAGCATAATGTTCAAACGGTTTTACTCTATGTTGGGTTTTTAAGTCATGCCTGTTGAGTTATAAAAACCGATGTGTCTGCAGATTGATGATAAAGGCCTTTGTTGGAGCATATGATAGATGTCTGTGCAAATATTTCAACTGAGACAAATACAGTGTGAGTCTCTAACCAAGTAAAGGCCCACTCTAATGTGATGCTCATTGAACCCAAACAGTTATGGTCCCTTTCATTTTCTTCTCTAAGACACAGTATGTTTATAGCAGTATTCTTTCACTGCACACTGAAATAGAAAATGACTCAGTGTTCATGCATAGGATGACTTCTGTACTGTGATGTAATTGCATGACTCCGTATATTTCCCAGCTGTAACAGTAGCTGCCCCGCCCTGCAGTTCGGCTTCAATTGTTCCTCCGCCTGTGACTGTGGGGAGGGGAGCGGCTGCGACCCAGTCACTGGAGTGTGTCCCAACAGTACGTCCATCCATATGTCTATCAAAATACATTTGTGTATCTGGTGCATGGATAGGTAAATGAAATCAAAGATTTTATCATGTGTGTGTGTGTGTGTGTGTGTGTGTGTGTGTGTGTGTGTGTGTGTGTGTGTGTGTGTGTGTTTTAGGTGGCAGGGCTGCAGTGATAGCAGGTGTGCTGGTTCCTCTCCTCCTGCTGCTCCTCGCTGTGCTCTGCTGCTGTTTGTGTTGTGGAGGGGCTCCTGCTGGGGGCAAAGACAGGTCTGTACCTCACTGCTCCCTATCAATTGAGCCATGAGCCTGTCCCTCTACAGCTCAAGGAGAGAACAGGAGTTAACAACAAAACCTGCAATCATAATTCTACCTGACATTGTGAATGGTGGAAAGTAGGGATGGCACCATATACTGGTATTGACAATAAAAATATATATTTATTGATATTCTAATAATAAGCATATGGTAATATTTGTATTATAAAGGCCTTTACACTATCCATTACTGTAATTGTTCTTTTTTGCCACCCTACACTTCCATTTTAAATCAATTCACTTGCTATAAAAAAAGCCCAAAAACTTAAAGATGAATTTGACTGATAGTATCTTTATTATTAGATTTTTTTCAAATGTTTTCAATATATTGGGATAATATATTTACCTTGAATTATTTTGGCAACAATAATCGTGTAGTCAGAATCTGCTATCATGCCAGCCCCGATTGAAAGAAATTCAATACAGAGAGGGCACTTTGCAATAGTGTTAAATTCATACAATATAAACGTTTCTTCTTCCAGGGCGACTGTGGCTGAGGGAGGCTGGTCAGTCCGGATGAAGTATCACGTCTACAGCGTCCTGGCCAACATCGGAGCGGCCCTGCCCTGTATCTCTGATTGGTCCTCTGGCCTGCCCCGTGTCACAGGTCAGTCCTGCAGCATTTATAGAGTCATGCTGCATTAAACAGTGATACATTGTAATTCATGGATTGTGTAACTCAACATACAAAAGTTGCACATATATTTAAGGAAGACAAAGGACAAGATGGACCTTTCTGAAATTCACAAAGAATAACCTATTCTCTTTAAGAGTTCAGTTACATTGTGACGGACAATGTGGTTTACTTTCTGTGGAGGAATGACTGCATGATATGCTGTCAAATTTCAGTCACTTTGCTCAACCAGTTACTGTTTATCATCAGTTTGCTTCTTCTTCTGGGTTACAGCCCTTAGTTGAACAACATTTTACAACACTTAGTTCTTGACTTACTGATCAAGTGTGTTTATACAGCCTCTTGGGAATCAAATGAAAATAGATACATTTATCATAAAACATGATGCTGTTTTTAGTCAAAAAGTCCAGCTGTTCCTGGATTTGTGAAATATTCAAGCAGGGTTTGATTTAGTTATTCATTTCATTTCATTTCAAACCTTTATTTAACCAGATTGGTCCCATTGGGATCATAGATCTCTTTTTCAAGGGAGACCTGCAGCATATAGGTCCAGTATAGGTAGTTATTAAGGAAAATGGAAGTAAAAATACATTTGTTACCCAAATTTCACAGAACATGTACACACTTTTCATTATGACCTTTTTTTTTTTTTTTACATCAAACTGAAAATATAACATTAGTGCAAAAAAAATTTCTCTCTTCAAACCTTACCTTAAAAGCCATAACCTTTTAGTATACTGCAGAACAAGCCATGTATGGATTCGACTAAGATTATCTTTTGAATTTTTCCTCTCACACACAGTGTCTCACCATGACCCAGAACTGACGTTCAACCACAGCTTCATTGAGCCTCCGTCGTCTGGCTGGGTGACGGAGGGGTCGTCCTTCGACAGTGATGAGGAGGAGGGGGAGGCGCTCTACTGTGTCCCTCCCAGAGAAGGTAGGAACAGGGACAGACTTCCCACTGCAATACTTTTGTAATGAGCAGAATATCTCCTCTTATGTCGCCCTACTTTTCTTTCTCCCTCTCTTTGGCAGACTTCCCTTCGGTGGCGGGCGGCGAGTTCCACGAGATGAGCTCAAAGTGCAACATGTTCATGGACCCCTCCGGCTTCAGCTGTGAGGACATCACCTCGCCCTTCAACATCCCTCGCACCTCCAGCATCGCCAAGTCAAAGCGGCCTTCTGTTTCTTTTGCAGAGGGGACCCGCTTCAGCCCCAAAGAGAGGCGTGGCTCGGCTCAGGACCCCGGCGCTCTCCCTGGTCACCTGCGAAACAAACCCAAGTCACCCTGGGGTGTTCTGATGCTGTCTGCTCTCCAAAGTCAAGGAAGTGCCTCTAAAACTGCGCAGGAAGATGGAGCTGAGGACCATGAGGGTGACGATGATGGGGATGCGCAGGAGACAGAATATGAGGAAACTAACTACGATGCAGGGGACCAGGAAGTAGACAGGACCGCTTCCCGGACCACCCTGCAGGTCCCTGGTGCCTCAGGACGAAGGAGGACTATGTCCAACACAGCTGCTCATAAAGGGACCCAGCTGCCGACACCTGCCTCTGATGCTCAGGGGGGGGTCTTAAATAAGGCCACCACGGTGTATGTGACGGTGGGTAAGGCAGGGAAGCCCGTGTCCAAGACGGAGACGAGCTCTGAGGGTCCCGTTCAGGCCATGCTGCGGCGCATCGGAAGCCTCCAGAGACAGAGGGAGCAGGAGGTAGGCAGGCCCAAGCCCAAAGGAGCAGAAGCTATCGTCAAACCCCCCAGGAGGAAGCTGGGAGCGCGGGCGAGCGTGTGGGAGGAGGGGGCGCCGCCCGCCGGGGAGGTAGGAATATGTAAGCCAATCAGGAGAAAGCATGCTTCTGTTAACACCCCTGACACAGCTGGTGAGAACGACACATCCTCAGAGAGCGGCACTCCAAAAAGGCCGCTGTCGTCCATTTTGAAGAGCGTGCCAGAGCTGGCTTTAGCTGACTCAGGGTCAGATCTGAGGGCGGAGGGCAGCGACCCCACCTCGGGAAAAACTGAGGGCCCCTACCTGACCGTGGGAGCAGCAGGAGATGCAGAGAGTCTCAATGAGGTCATCGCCAACGAAGGAGAGGTGGTCAGTGTGAATGACGAGCCCTGCTATGAAAATGTCATAATTAAACACACATGACCTCAGAGAAACTGTCAGCAGCTCTGATTCAACAGGACTAATTATTTATTATTCCGTTACAATGTTACAGGCACGAAAGGGAAAACTCTTGAATTATTTCTTTCTAGTATTACATGAATTAAGGTTTACAAAGCATTTATGATGAAAAAATATACCTTTGCATAGCCTCCAGAATATATACTAAAACATATAAAATGTATAATTTAGGTTGAAAGATGAATAATACAAAACAAATACTTTAAATATATGACGTTTTTATTTGTTATCGTACAAGTTGGAACAGATGTAACAGGTTGTGAATGCTGATCAAATACATTGTTCAAAGATCCGTGAAAAAACATATAAAGTAAACAAGGTTGCTTTGCCATTTTAGTATGATTTGGACTATAAAACTATAATTGTAACAATGTTTTCTACGACCTCTGTTCAAAGTCCGATCTGCCGCTGCTCTCTGACCTTTGCAGTTACACAATGCTACTGTTAGCATAAACCGCCATTATTGCATTTTAGAGATTGTTTCCTTTTAATTACTCAATCTGTACGACCACGTGCCACGTTTTTATGACCCCTTTGTGGATGAAAAGTCTCATCAACCCTGTTTATATTGTGTTATTTACTGTATGCTTATGATTAAACAATGGAAAATAAACACGTGTAAATACATGGTTTAGAAAAAAAGTCCCTGATTTACCATCTGTGTTGGTTTTGGAACGAATGTAACAAAACAGAAAACCTGTAGAATAATACTAGAGTATCCGATCTCTTCCGGATTTCCAAATGGAGGTTTTTTTCCTTATAGTTGTTTAACTAAGTCGGTCAGCTGATTTTGAGAACAGATGAGATAACCTTAATCCACCAATTGAACTTTGGACATGCTAAAACACTACGGCGGTGAAGAGCAGCCGTGTTGGACCTTCATTGATCTCCAATGTTTGCTGACGTTGACGAGCGGTTTGTTTAGTGTCACACTTTACAAGAAGCCAACACTGCCAGTTTCAGGGAAAATGAATAATCAGTTATATACAAATGTAGTCCTAGTGGTCATATTAAAATAACGAAACATTTTGCAACTACTTCTCTGCCCCGGTGGTGTCTGAACAGCCGAGCCAGAACTTGGCGATGGATCTGGGGTACGGAGGAGAGGCTCGGTCCACTCTCTTGGTCTTCAGGTCCACTCTGTAGTACAACTCTAGAAAACACAGAAAACAACTCATTCATTTCCACTCTCTGGAGCAGCACATGTTCAGGCCGTGCTTGTCATTTTTGTGTTACGTAAAGCACACTTTGTTGGTAAAGATAAATCAACCGTACTTTGGATCTGTCATAGCCGTCAGCATTAATCAAAGGATTCCTTTATACTTGTTTTTTCTTGTTTTTGGTGAATCATAAAACGGATCATAAAAGTACTGGCAGGCAGAAATGCACTGCAGGGGATCTCTTATGTTGTTTGTCATATGGCAGCATAATACAAAAAACAGTTACATAAGCCTTCTGTGGGAAAGTTTGATAAAATAATATTTGAATGAGTTCCAGTCTTCTCTCTGGAACTCATCCCAGAAAGGTCTTCTTTCATCTGTCTGGAAAAAGCCCACATTTCAACTTAGACAAGACAAAGTCTTTTGTGTGAGAATTCATGTTGTTAAATAGTTTGTTATGACTATTATTAATCTAAAAGTGCACCAACCTCCTCTGAAGAAGTAGACGCTCTGTATGGGCAGACTCCTGGAGACGGACCCAACATTTCTGGAGTCGTGGTTGCCTCTGTTGTTCTGCCGGGTCCCGCCTCTCCGTCTGTCCTGGTCCGAGTCTTGATCCCATCGTCTGTTCCAGTCTCGTCCCAGTCTCTCCTCCATCTCCATCCCCCTCTCTGCCAACCTCAGACCCATGTCCATCCCCCTGTCTGCAAAGCCCTGGCCCATGTCCATCCCCCTGTCTGCAAAGCCCTGGCCCATGTTCCTCCCCCTGTCTGCAAAGCCCTGGCCCATGTCCATCCCCCTGTCTGCAAAGCCCTGGCCCATGTTCATCCCCTGCTCAGCCGTGGAGCCCCAGTAGGGGGAACGGCTCTGCCTCCTATGAGCCCACTGCTGCCCATGCTGCTGACCGTACTGCTGACCGTACTGCTGACCGTATTGCTGACCGTACTGCTGGTAATTCTGCCCGTTCTGCTGGTTCCAAGGCTGCCCTGGCTGGTAGTCGTTGCGCCGTCGTGCGGGCCTCACTGGAGGGACGTACATCCTGCCAGCCATGACAGCATCCACTGGAGACTTGAGGCCCTTCCAGTCCTTGTCAATGAAGTGGTGTTTGTCGTGATGCTGAGGCGCTAGAGAAGAGAAGAAAAAACTGTAAGCTTGTAGCAACACGTGCATCTACATCTGCATCTCATGATCTATAATTTGACTCAACTTACAGCTAGAGAACAGCTCGCTGATGACACCTTCGTAGTTGTTGTAGTATAAGTCAGTGTAGCGTCTGAACATTAGGGGCGGAGAGCTCTCTGACATGGTGATGCACTCATCATGGGATGGCTGGTGCAGAAACTCGTATGTGTGATACTGATCCCCTGGAGAAACCAACAAGATGCTTTATTGAAAAGATATACACTTTATTTTTTAATTCACAAGGTTATTTGTCCAATTCCATAATACATTTAAAACATGTTTTCATAAAGAAGTAATATAACCTGGAATATTTTTGCCATATCATTATGAAATGATTGCTTCCTGTTATTAGGAACAAGTGAGATTTTTCTTTCCATATGTTCAAAAACCGAAGATTATACAGAATATACCTGGATTTCTTGTTTTATTATCAGTACCTTTGAAGAAATAGACCTTCTCCTTTCCATTGTGACCAGGAGCCGGCAGAGCAAACGCTGCGTCCACATGATCGGGAATTTTGTCAAAGCCCACGCTGATATCTCGAGGATAGTCCTCATCCACCACACCGTTATCAAACCTCCAGTACTTGTTTCCCTGAGGAAGGTTTTGTGTTAATACATACACTTATTATCAAAGCAAAACAAAGGAAATGTGCAACATGATTTATTAATACAAGATACTTTGCTGAGTCCTCACCTTGAAGATGTAAGTCTTGCCTTTACAGTTGACGCGGGTGAAGGCAGCATCAATCGGCCCGCTGATGCCCCACACGTCCTTTATGAGCTTCGGATAACCAGGAAGAACAGTCTTTTTGTCCAGTTCAAAAAAGTAATCCCCTAGAAAAAAAACACAGAAGTTCACAAGTGTGTTTCACCGCGACAGAAAAGGATTCCAATAATCTTCCTGGGGTCCAACACATTACATAACAGTTATTGGATTAAAAAACATAAAATAACATTCATACTCACTTCAGAGCAAGACAACACTCTGCATACAATTAAGTAAAATACTAATTACATATAGGTGATGTTTAAAAGAATGAGGATTATACAAATGTAATGAAGCGAAACACAATTGTCAAAAACTAAAAAAAAATTTCAAATGCACTGCATGCCAACAAAAGCATATTCTTCTTAAAGGATAGGATGATTCATTATTATTAGGCGGATATTAAGGGGTTTGTTTTTCTAGTATAACACAGCGTTTTATTTGATTTGATTGAATTAGGCCCTGGGCAGGAACAACATGTGACCATTACTGGCAAATCTGTTGTAGAGGCTTTGTCTGTTTTTCTGTCATTAGTACAGCTGCACAATATGGCTCGCTTGAAGTTGCACTCTCCACATTTAAATATGAAGGGATCACTCACCTCTGAAGGCATACATGGAGCCATTTTTTTGTTGCATGAAGGAGTCAAAAGGCCTCCCGCTGCAGGCCATAGCGTCTGGGTCGGGGGCTTCGGTGGTGGCTGTTGTGACGGGGCCGGTGGTGGTCTCAACTGCTGCCTCAGTCACAGGGGTTTCAGTTGTTATCTGTGCAGTCGCCACTGTCTTTGATACGGGTGTTTTGCGTGTTATAGGGATTTTCTGAAGTATTGTTTCCATCAGTCGAGGGGGTCTGGTCATTTCTAGAGTTGTTTCATGTTGTTCCTGTTGTCTGCGACCAAAGTCTGAGATGGGCTGCTCGGTGGGCTTCAGCTTGCCATCGGTAGCAGTGATGGACAGACTGTGGGATGAGCGTTGAGGCGAGGGAGTGGGAGTGGTGCTTTGAAGAAGCTCACTATCCTCATCATCCTCTGCAAACACAAACGTGTCCCCGCGAGCTGAGAATGGGAAGTCATAATAATGAACAACTTTCAGGATCAGAATTTGGTTTATTGCCACGTAGGTATACACATATGCTTTGGTGTATGATGGTGCATACATAAGCACAGTAAGATTAATTTAAATGTTAAACAAGACCAAATATAGAACAGTTGTTAAAATTATTATATGCCATTTTTTTATTTCACCAGAAATGTTTGTCTCACAACATTAGGGTATCTTAAAGAGGGGTTTCTTACTCGTCATGCCACAATAGACCTCGAAGTCAGAGCAGCAGCTGTTGTAATATTTGCACATCGAGTCACACTGGCACGTCTTCTCTGAGTTAAAGCCATTCTCACAGCGACTCATACACGACTCTGAAGATGAAATGACAGCGTTAAACATTTTTGAAATTGTTTTATTCAGTATTCTTTGCACCTTTGACCAAATGAATTTGCCGTGTTGGAGATGAAACTAAATATATAAGCGTTGGCAGCATGTCAATAACAAAGACTAATTGAATATGTTGTCCGTTATCATTCATAGTTTTTCAGATTTTTATCTCAACATTTTAAGTGGCTGCCTATAGTATCCTATTTGTATTGATAATTGTAATAAATGCAGGAACTAGTAGTTGATTCAAAGATCTCAACTATTTTGGAACTGGCTAAATTGTAAAGTCAATTATCAAGCAAACATTAAATACATATGAAAATATGCTGCTCTTTAAAGTTTAAAAAGGTTGAAAAGGTTGAAAACAAATTGTTTTTTGGGCTTGGGTTCAGACAAAATGAGCAATTTGAAGACATCATTTTGTATTCTGGTCATTAGTGCCATATTTTTCACAAGTATCCGGCCTTTTTTAGACCAAACAATTCATGTATTAATTTGAGAAATAATCATTAGCTTTACTGATAATGATTTAGCTGTTAGAAGCAGTCTTGACTAAAGCTTTGAAAAAAAACTAAAAATATGTATGTTGTTAAATGTTGACGCTTTAACACTGTATACTAGTAAGCAGGACACACAGAAAAGGCCCATTATCGGGTCTTACTGAAACATGATTACATTTTACCAAAGAGTGAAAAACAACCAGTAACATTTCTCCCAATAATGAATACAAACACTTCTCTGAACTTTAAAAGTGATTTTTAAAGTTGTACTTACCATCTGCGGCTAAAGTCAGAGCGATCAGAGCGAGCAGCAGGAAGGCCCACAGCCTCATGTTGTCTCTGCGGAGTGAGAGGGCAGAATGAAGAAATAATGAAGCACTGCATGCTCACAATCATTGGAAACATGTGTCAGTCACCCCGCTTCCTTGTTTGCTCTAACCTTATTTGCAAACGTCTTTCTATCGGAGCAAATAAACAGAGAGAAAGAAGTCGATAGGAAATGTGACCTCTGACCCTGTTGCTTTTGAGTTTCTACTCAAATCTTTGTCATATAGGGATCACAGAGCAGAGGTCTCTCTCTTCAGTTTGAGTAATGCTTCTATCCAACAGCATTTATTTTTATTTATTCTACTAAATTCATACAAAAACAAAGAAGTATAATTCATACACCCCGTATTGTCATACTGATATTCTGTACAAACTGTGAAGTCCACTGAGACAAATGTAACATTTGTGATATTGGGCTATATAAATAAGCATTGATTGAAACATTGATTGATTGATACACACAAAATAAACAAAATTAGTAGAAGCGGGAGGGCTGAAGCATAGCTTATGGCAGTAGTTCTCAAACTTTTTCTGTCAGGCCCCCCCTTTGGAGAAAAAAAAAAGTCGGGCCCCCCCAACACAAATAGTCAGGCTCAGTGGCGGTGCCAGATATTTATTTTGGGGTTCTGTGGGGTAGCTTGACGTTTCATAGAGGGTGGGACATTTAGGGTTTCCCA